TACCGTTGCAGGAGACACAACCATATGTTATACAGTGTAATAGTGTTAGATATCGCAAAACTCACCACTTTGAAATCGTGTTCACGTATCCATGATGCGCAGTCTTCAATCTCGTAGTAAGTTGATAAATCTCTCGACTGATCATCTCTTCTATTAATAGTGAGACATCTCTTGATGACGTCTGCACCATCACAAGTGATGGCCGATGTGCCGCCCTCCATTGCAGCTTTAGTTTAAGACAAACACCCTTAGCCTGAAAACACAAACTTCATCTCACCTGAAAATAAAGCTCTATTTTACTTGTAAGATGTATATAAAAGCAAATATCTCGATATTAACAGTATTGGACACAGCAACAGTGACAAGACTGTAAAGTTCCCGCAGGTTCCAGCATGAGCGAGGATGAGCTAATTGCCCTATGTGGCGCCACCTGTTGGCAGAGATTACAGTGTTAAGAATAAAGACCCACAGATGGCACCAGTACTCGAGGTTTTGTGAAAGATGTCGTCCAGAAAACCGTACAGCAAGATACATCTTACTAAAAAAAGGTTATAGTGCGTTTGATTAAATACCCAGTGGTAGGTATTAAGTTTCCAGTTAAGCAATAGTATACGTACGTGCGTCTTTCCGTTGTTTCGTGCGCAACGATAGAACTGCAGTGTTTAGCTTATGTGTGCAATGTTGCATCGATCGCAGTGATTCACCGAGTGATTGTCATCGCGCATTCGCGGTCGCTTGTGCCAATAAAATACTAGTACATTATGATAATACAGACTAAATAACAGTATTCGTAATAACTTAAGTACTAATTATATTTACTAGAAAAGTTTCAATGGCCAACTCATAACGTTCGACACGCTCGATGCATATTCTACCCATTCTGAAATATTCAGACTCATTAAATTTAATGAAATAATGGTTCATTGTTTGTTAAAAATTAAAAGTATATTTAAAATAGTTTCCCAGGGTCCAAGCCTAGCTTAGCACCCGAGATTAGTTAGCTCTAGAACTATAGCCCTTTGCTCTGCCACAGGTGGAGCAAGCGAAGAGCTAGAGCTAATCCGAGATTAGCTTAGCGCATATATATGCGAAAACATATTTGTGGGGTCCCAAACTGAAACTATCCTTGATAAAGGCCAAGTGTAAGTTGCAACCAAACCGTAATCCAATCCCAAGCATAATCAGTAACTACTGTTTAGTTTGAATAGTTATAAGTAGTAAAAATTATTCAGTGTAGTGGTTGTGTAGTAAGTGAAACGGTATAACAGTTGGGGTCAGGATTGCATTCTCCATTTCTAAGTTCTATGCTGCGCAAATGCTCAGGACTCTAAGTAAATACTATCTATGCTATTATTTTATTATTGCATATGTGCATGTGTGTGTACATATGCTACATATGATGTTTCCTACCCATAAGAGATGCTATTAGTAGTTGTGATCTGGAACTAGATCTTTATGTTGGTATTCCCTGAAACAGGGTAGCCACAATCAGTCTACCACATGTACATTTAGATCAATATGACCTAATGTAGTAATGATATTAGTGCTACATTCTCCAGGAATGTATCTTTAGCTCTAAATGTTGTATTGCACTGCTCCTATTATATCTCGTGTATTTTAAACATTTTGGCTCAGATGGTATATACCATATATGCAGGTCATATTTTGCCCCTCCTAAATATGTTCCTGCTCATGCAGATGATGGCTTTATTGTTCACTTGCTTTATGTACTTATTTATACCTTCAGAGTCAAACTGGGCCATCAAAAATATAATAATTATTAATATGTGGGAAAAGTTAAGTGCTATTTTACTTGCTGGTACAGGTATGCGTAATACGTGCGCACACATTTACATGTTACGTGCATTGAAGTAATTGTGGTACAAATTACAACAGGTTGGACAATATGGATCCAAACCAGTGGTATACCCAGCCATATGGACGGTTGCCTGTTCCACAGCAGACTTCTTCTTTGAATCACTCTTCACAGCTCTTTGATTTACCCATGCTGGATCAGATGGCACAGCAACTAGGTATTACATTGCTCATCCCCTTGTCTTCGTATACAATTTATGTGGCATGGTAAATCTTAGGTTCAGGCTTACGTCTAGCTTGTATCTTGTATGTAGCATCGAAACAGGCATGTAATTGTTATGCATCAGGGGTCGAAATTAGCGGTATCCCGATATCCGTGGGATAGTAGATTCTTGTGTTGGATACCAGATTTCAATGCTTGGTATCCCGCCGGGATAGTAAAAAAAATCGTCAAAATCGGGATAGTGGTTGTTGAGCATATTTGCAAGCGCAAGTGTAAGCGTGGCCGATGTTGATCATAACTGTGATGTGTTACTGTATACATTGTATCAAACCAACCAGACAATGCGTCTAGACCATAGAAATAGATAGATAACTAGATAGAGATAGATAGATAGGTTATCTATCTATTTCTATGGTCTAGACAATACGTCTGCAGTGTACTTGTCTGTGCATATCTGTGAATCTGTTTTCATGTTTTTATATAATAATTACATTACATATTAATAATTTTCAAATGCTATTATTGCATATTTCAAGATTTTGGATACCAACATTGTTGAAATTACTATCAAAAAAATGGGTTACCAGATCTGGGGATTTTCAATACCTGGTATAGTAAATGGATACCATAATAAAAATCTAATTTCGACCCCTGTGCATTAGTATAATTTAGGATTGGGGAATTTAATGACAGGAGATATGATGATATGCTGCGAGACATTCGTATGTAAACCACACAGAAGAACAGATCTATCAATATCAAGGTGTGAAATCCTGGATCTCTACATAGACACTGTGAACACTTGTGGCATGGATCATAATATAAAATGGCAGGCCTGTCTCCGAAAATCTGGATGTCAAAAAAAACATTAAGTACGTAAGACATTCTGGCAGTTTCTGCCGTAAGTGTACATAAAATGTCCGCTTGGTGTAATGCTCGTGGGCTAACTAACGAATGACACCCCAACGGCCCGCCCACATAGCTAGTTGAATGGGAGTAACGTAGCGCCAAAAATGTCTCCCAAGTTGCTCCATGCATCCATGCAAAAAGTTTCCTAGGTTCTGCCATCGCTTGGTGTAATGCTCATCCATGGGCTTACTAGCGAATGACGTCCCAACGACCTCAATAGCTAGTTGAGTCGGACTAACCTAGCGCCGAAAATGATTGCTCCATCCATGCGAAAATTTCTGGTCCTGCTTAGTGATGTCACGATCATCGATTATACTCGATCATCGGTTGAACAGTGGCTCGAACCAAGCGCTTAGTGATGTCACGATCATCGATTATACTCGATCATCGGTTGAACAGTGGCTCGAACCAAGCGCTTGGTTATCAAAATCCATAATCGATTTCATCGAAAAAAATTAAATAAAATAAATAAAAATCGAAATAAATGTAAAACTTGAACAAGAAAACTTGGAAAAGTGATGAGAATCAGAGATATCATTGCTACTATAGAAGTTATCCTTTATTAACATACATGTATTATACACACAGTAGTAAACAGTGCAAAACAAACAGTAAACAGGGCTAAACAAGCACATACATACATGCACACACGTACATGCAAACGACGTTACGCACACGCAGGCATTCAACACCCCGAGTAACCGATTGTAACCGATCATCGGTTACTTGGGTCCAACCGATGATCGATTACGAAATTACAACCGATCGACAACACTAGTCCTGCTATCAGTTGATGTAATGTTCATGGGCTTACTAGCGAATGACATTCCAACGCCCCGCCCGCATAGCTAGTTGATGGGAGTAACCTAGCGCGAAAAACGATTCCTCCATCCATCCATGCAAACAGTTTCCTGGGTCCTGCCATCACTTGGTGTAATGTTCATGGGCTTATTTAGCCTTACTAGCGAGTGATCCACTGAATGACATCCCAACGGCTCGCCCGCATAGTGAGTGGGAGTAACCTATCGCGAAAAACGATTCCAAGTTGCTCCATCCGTGCTAAAAGATTCCTGGGTCCTCCTGTTTCAGGCATGAGAATTTTCTGCAGATTCGCGGATGTCCGGGTTTTGGTTTTCATTTTAGTAATTTTTGAGATTGATGCAAAAAAACTAATAAAAAGCTTAGGGGGGTAATGCGTACTTTTTTTTGTCAAAATGGACGCCATTTTAAATTTAAACTTCATAAAAAGTCAGGAAAAGTACGTCAAATTTTACACAGAAGTAACAGAACTCCAGATAAATATCGCGGTGTATCCAATGTAATGTAAATGAAGGCATGCTTTAAGTTAACCGCCACATAAAACATTGAAATTTTCACAGAAAATGACAAGACTAGATGAATAATTATTGTTAGTCACAACAAGTTGAAATTGGTCTTTTACTAAGAATGGAATGGACTTACAATATTCCCCAGAATGCATGGAAAATGCATTCCAAATTTCAAAAATTTTCTGGGGACATGCCCCCTGACCCTCCTAGCAGGACAGTGTGCTACGCATAACACACATGTCCTAAAACATATTTCCTCCGAAATTTTTCCTTCGAATATTTCCTCCGAATATTTCCTCCGAAAACATCTCGACCTGTTCTCATGCCTGCTGTTTGCCACGTGCCGCGCGTTTCTCTTGCAGAGGCTGGGCTGTCGTCGAGCCTCGCACCGTCGTCGCTGCAGTCTCAGCACCTCGGCGTCGGCCACACGCAGCCCTACACCTCCCTGCCGACGCTCATCGGTGCTGGCTACGGACAGAACCTGCTCACGGCGCAGGCGAGCACGCTGTTCCACGACGCCGCGGCAGACGCCGCCGCCGCCGCCGCGACGAGCGCCCCCGCCGCGCTCCACGCCGCGAAGCCCGCAGGTAACCACGACGACGGTCGCTAGGCGACGCCGCGCGGGACGACGTGGTCGTCTTTTTCCGGGCCGTTTTTTGAATCGATGCGTGACCGTCTAACGTGTTTGAGTCTGTCTCGTCGACATCTCGTTGGTTGTTGTGTTTTTCGCTTCAATGGTTGTTGAAACGTGTTACTATTGTATCGTATGTATTGAGCTTCCTACGAAAAATACGTTTTTTAGTGAGTTGAGTGACCTGATTGTCATGTTGAAATTACGCCGGCTGGAGCTTCCCACGAAAATCACGGCCATCTTACTGCAAACAACAAATAATAATTAATATAATGCCCTCTCGCTTGCTTGAATAGTCTGATTACCTCCGCCCAACGGAGTTGGAGGAGGTTATGTTTTCGCTCTCGTGTGTTCGTGTGTTCGTGTGTTCGCGCGATCGATATTAGCGCGTCGAGTCAAGCCAGCCAGCCAGCCACAGCCAGCTTCAGCAGTAGTCAGCAGCAGCCAGCAGCGAGCGGCGAGCCAGCTCGTAACACATACATGTTACATGGGAGCGTGTACATGTCAGTACGCTGGCGTATATCGTGGGTTATTCGTGTGTTCGGGAGTCGTATGGCGTATGTCGCTGGCGGAGGTATGCACTCCATGTTGGAATTGGGATTTGGGTTTGGTTTTTTTCCCGTCTTCGGTATCATGAAACATGATTGATGGTCGAGTGAGCCAGTGACCAGCAGGGGAGAATAATGGCAAAATTGTCATTAATTACAAAATTGTCATAAATGACAAAATTTGTCACGACAAGTGACAAATGACAAAAAGGCAATGAACAAAAAGACAATGAAAAAGACATGACAAAAAGATGAAGAAGTGACAAAATTTGTCATTATTCACCCCCGATACCAGTAGATTATAATATTAATACACACATGGTAGATGTATTATTCTATAGAGAGCTAAATAGATGCATTGACCTTTTCCCACAGTATCTGTGATGCTTCCACCTCAAGGCACACCGCAAAAGAACTGGGCTCTGTCTAACTTTGTCCCAAGTCCCAACAATCCTTTCGGGGCTATGGGATCTGAGTTAGTCACATCTGCTAGCACCTCTGCATTCTCCGACATCATCCAGAGGGCAGCACAGTACGGCAGTAGCCCTAACGAAGCACCTGTGACCAGTGCCTTCAGATATCAGGATAAACGGGTGAGCATGCAAAAATCACGAAGAAAATTCAAATGCTAGCTATATAGTATTCGTATAGATGCAATGCCTTTATGATGTGCGTGTATTTTTTATTTATAAATTATTTCTTTATGATCTTAAATTGACTACGTCACGAATTTAGTAGAGCTAGGCTGCACGGGTAGAGCTAGGCTGCACGGGTAGAGCTAGGCTGCACATGTAGAGCTAGGCTGCACGGGTAGAGCTAGGCTGCAGCCCTCGCACACCACCGACCAGCCGACCGCGTGACGACGCTCACCCGGCAAGAGTTCCCTGAAGTCGGTCACGTAGTCGCCGGTCCACTCGCGCGCCGCGTTGCACGCGAGCTCCATCTCGAACGGCGTCACGATCGGCCGGTAGAGGTCGCCGGCATCAACGAGCGTGTTCTCGGCGCACGCGACGAGCACGAACACGTCCATCTCCGCAAAGTTCGCGAGCTTCGCCGCGTTCAGCTTCCCGACGACGAGCGTGTACGGCTTCTTTCCCGCGCGGCGCGCGACGTCGCGCACGCGCTCGATCGCCGCGACGACGTCCGCGACGCCCGGCGCGCCGGCGACGACGCCGACGACGCGCGCGTCCTTCGCCCGCTCGACCATGTAGTAGCGCCGCATGAGGCGCTTGTTGACGGAGAGCGTCTCGCGGCGGGCGGCGCCACCTGCTGGGTCGTACGTGCTGAACGCGCACTTGTTGAACGTCAGCATCAGGTTGGTGAGCGCGAGACATTCGCCGCCGACGAAGAACATCTGGTAGTTGGATTCGGTCTCGCTAGAGGGCAGCGCGAACGTTCGACCGCCCTTCACGATGATCGTGAATCGAGACTCGTCGATTTCTGGTCTCGCCTCCGGTGACAGTTTCAAATTGGAAAATATTAGATTTGTGTATTGGCTCAACAGCACCGTCTTGATCTGATCTAAAAGGTGCAATACATTAATAACATTAGTTCACTTATGATATCCATACGTGTCAAGGGCAACGATCAACATCTATATGAATTATAACAAAGATGGAAAGATAGATAACAGGTTTATTGCGAAATAAGTTCGAGTAAGATTACGATTTTCATTGGTAACCATAATATCACCGTGCAATATAAAATTGCAGTTCGTGATATGAACACACAGATAAGTGGATCAATTTTGCAATAATAGCTTGTTTGTAGAGCTTATGTTAACAGCTATATAATTTAATGGCAACTATAAATATAATTTACCTATCGCATAGCTGTACACAACATCATAGAAAACCACGACTGCTGTTTCCGTTTCTGGATAAAGCTGTTGAAATTTAGCACAGCAGTCCTTCGCATCCAGATTTTCCTGACCAAACACGTATCGAACTGGTACTTCGGATACCGAACTCAAGCATGCTCGTCCAAAATGTATGACGGCTGTTGCAAGCACATGTTGCGATGCAATGACATCCACACAGCAGCTAAAAATAGCAGGGCTCACTATAGACATTCAAGCAATGCAATATATGCTGACTGGGATAACCACTTTGCATCAACTATATACATTGTGATAATAGACCGGAGATCAAAACTACATGGACTGTTCACGTTCACAAGGCGATACAATCTGGTATTTAGTAAACAAGCGAGTTTTTCTATTAGAGTCCTTATTTAAATCCAACCTGTTCTTAAAATACTCATTACACCATCATTGTTTTCAACAGAAAGGATGCTTGTGAACAAGTATTTCAACATGAATCGATGTACTCATGACTTCTATAATCATAGATAACCACACCTGCCATAGGTAGTATCTCCTAGTATGAACAGCTTTGCTTCAGTCAAGGAGGAAAGAAGAGCTGTGACATCAGCCGAGTCTTCAAGGAGCTCATCTGGGAACTGCAGCGCCACCTAGAAAAAACTTCACATAAAGTGATTGTATGGGGACAATACCAGCAGAAATGTCCGTAAAAATACTGTACCCTAGTCATACCATTGTTGTTACACAAATAAATAATTACAAGATATATTATTTATTTATTATAGACAGCAAGTTGAGGTCATCATTGATTCATTACAACATTGGAGCTATATTATATGTTATACAGTGTAATAGTGTTAGATATCTGTTGTACCCAAACTTGGAATCTGCACAATCTCGAGATTGTGCAGCGATTGTGCTGCCCAAACTGCGGATTCCCTAGTTTGGCTGACCAATCTCAAGATTGGGCAAACTGAAAACAGTCGGTGATTCAACAACCGCTCATAGTCATAGCGAGTGTGTGGTGTGCGTGGTGCAAACTAGGAAGAGAGTTTATCTCATATTAAATCTTACCCAATTAATTATTATAATCATTTAATATTTATACAAAGGTGCCAAACACATTGAGGAAAGAAGGTAGACGACCTTATAGTTATGATATAACATTTGAAATCCTAATAATCATATGTTTGTGCAAGCTCTGTTTACCTCTGTTTGCCCAATCTCAAGATTGGTTGCCCAAACTGCGGATGCGCTGAAATTCCAAGTTTGTGCAAGATTCCAAGTTTGGGCACAACATATCGCAAAACTCACCACTTTGAAATCGTGTTCACGTATCCATGATGCGCAGTCTTCAATCTCGTAGTAAGTTGATAAATCTCTCGACTGATCATCTCTTCTATTAATAGTGAGACATCTCTTGATGACGTCTGCACCATCACAAGTGATGGCCGATGTGCCGCCCTCCATTGCAGCTTTAGTTTAAGACAAACACCCTTAGCCTGAAAACACAAACTTCATCTCACCTGAAAATAAAGCTCTATTTTACTTGTAAGATGTATATAAAAGCAAATATCTCGATATTAACAGTATTGGACACAGCAACAGTGACAAGACTGTAAAGTTCCCGCAGGTTCCAGCATGAGCGAGGATGAGCTAATTGCCCTATGTGGCGCCACCTGTTGGCAGAGATTACAGTGTTAAGAATAAAGACCCACAGATGGCACCAGTACTCGAGGTTTTGTGAAAGATGTCGTCCAGAAAACCGTACAGCAAGATACATCTTACTAAAAAAAGGTTATAGTGCGTTTGATTAAATACCCAGTGGTAGGTATTAAGTTTCCAGTTAAGCAATAGTATACGTACGTGCGTCTTTCCGTTGTTTCGTGCGCAACGATAGAACTGCAGTGTTTAGCTTATGTGTGCAATGTTGCATCGATCGCAGTGATTCACCGAGTGATTGTCATCGCGCATTCGCGGTCGCTTGTGCCAATAAAATACTAGTACATTATGATAATACAGACTAAATAACAGTATTCGTAATAACTTAAGTACTAATTATATTTACTAGAAAAGTTTCAATGGCCAACTCATAACGTTCGACACGCTCGATGCATATTCTACCCATTCTGAAATATTCAGACTCATTAAATTTAATGAAATAATGGTTCATTGTTTGTTAAAAATTAAAAGTATATTTAAAATAGTTTCCCAGGGTCCAAGCCTAGCTTAGCACCCGAGATTAGTTAGCTCTAGAACTATAGCCCTTTGCTCTGCCACAGGTGGAGCAAGCGAAGAGCTAGAGCTAATCCGAGATTAGCTTAGCGCATATATATGCGAAAACATATTTGTGGGGTCCCAAACTGAAACTATCCTTGATAAAGGCCAAGTGTAAGTTGCAACCAAACCGTAATCCAATCCCAAGCATAATCAGTAACTACTGTTTAGTTTGAATAGTTATAAGTAGTAAAAATTATTCAGTGTAGTGGTTGTGTAGTAAGTGAAACGGTATAACAGTTGGGGTCAGGATTGCATTCTCCATTTCTAAGTTCTATGCTGCGCAAATGCTCAGGACTCTAAGTAAATACTATCTATGCTATTATTTTATTATTGCATATGTGCATGTGTGTGTATATATGCTACATATGATGTTTCCTACCCATAAGAGATGCTATATTAGTAGTTGTGATCTGGAACTAGATCTTCATGTTGGTATTCCCTGAAACAGCTAGGGTAGCCACAATCAGTCTACCACATGTACATTTAGATCAATATGACCTAATGTAGTAATGATATTAGTGCTACATTCTCCAGGAATGTATCTTTAGCTCTAAATGTTGTATTGCATTGCTCCTATTATATCTCGTGTATTTTAAACATTTTGGCTTAGATGGTATAGACCATATATGCAGGTCATATTTTGCCCCTCCTAAAGATGTTCCTGCTCATGCAGATGATGGCTTTATTGTTCACTTGCTTTATGTACTTATTTATACCTTCAGAGTCAAACTGGGCCATCAAAAATATATAATAATTATTAATATGTGGGAAAAGTTAAGTGCTATTTTACTTGCTGGTACAGGTATGCGTAATACGTGCGCACACATTTACATGTTACGTGCATTGAAGTAATTGTGGTACAAATTACAACAGGTTGGACAATATGGATCC